AGATGAAGGAACTACATGAAAAGATGAATAATTTCATCAAAGAATTAAAAATCTAAAAAAAATAATAACTTAAAAATATAACATCAGAAATTAAGAATGAATTTGATGAGACTGAAAACTTACTGGATACCAAGAAAAATAAGATTCGTGAATTGGAAAATAGGTCAATAGAAAATTTCTAAACTGAACCATAGGAAGGAAAAAAAGTAGGAAATACAGAAAGAAAAGTATTAGAAATCATAAAAAAATATATTTAGTTACAATTTTTAACACTAGAAACCTAACATCACAAATTTAAATGCTAATTTAAAAAAACATGCAAGTGTGAGAAATAACATGAGTGAATTTCTGTATAATCTGGGAATGGGGAAAACTTTTCTTAACTATGACTCAAAATTAGAACCAATAAGGAAAAAAAGTGATATATTTTATGTCATAAATGTAAGAATTATGCTGCATTGGAAACAGTAGCATAAGAAAGTATGGACAGAGGACAAACTGAGAAAATATTTGCAATTTATATTATAAATGGTTAATAGATTTTATATGTGGGACATTTTCAGCCTAATAAGGATAATAACTATAATGAATTAAAACTCATTAATATGTTTAAATTCGTATAAATTCTTGATACTTAACACAAATACTTATTTATGACCTAAGAATGCTAGTGAACCAACTCATTTTTAAATCCGGTAAATAAAGGGAAAGAACCAAGTGTCTATTCTGCTTTTCTTATACAAATTGTACATGTAGTAAATAATTGGTTCATGGGAGGAATTTCTCTTTATAAGAATACTTCAGCTGATAAATGAAGGAATGATAGAATTAGAACATCACTCTTTGGCAGCCCATAATGAACGAATGGATCTAGGCAATACCCATCAGTGGCTGTTAACATCACACAATCAGACATTATGTAGCTCTGATGTAACTACACAACGTCATCTATGAAATACTCTTGCCAGAAAATAAAAATAAATGTGATCAAATCTGTATACCTAACTAAAAGGTGAAAGAGGAACATGGAGATACCATGAGATGTGAAAAGCAAAACCCAGGCTGTGGGTAATTCTACAGGACAAATAATCAAATTTGCTCAACAAATGCATTGGAAAAGAAAAATAAGAAATGTAAGACAGCCTTCAGATTAAAAGGGAACAGACTGGTCAGAGGCGGGTGGTGGGGAGTAGGCAAAATGAGTGAAAGTGGCCAAAAGGTACAAGCTTCCAGTTATAAAATAAATAAATTCTGGGGATGTAATGTACAGCATGGTAACTAAAGTTAAAAATGTGTTTAAAAGGGCTTCCCTGGTGGCACAGTGGTTGAGAGTCCGCCAGCCGATGCAGGGGACACGGGTTCGTGCCCGGGTCCGGGAAGATCCCACGTGCCGCGGAGCGGCTGGGCCCGTGAGCCATGGCCGCTGAGCCTGCGTGTCCGGAGCCTGTGCTCCGCAACGGGAGAGGCCACAACAGTGAGAGGCCCGCGTACCGCAAAAAAAAAAAATTAAAGTGTTTAAAAGTTGCTAAAAGAGCACATCTTAAGGGTTCTTATCATAAGAAAAAAATTTTAACTGTGTGAAGTGATGGATGTTAACGGAATTTACTGTGGTGATCATTTTACAATATATACATATATCAAATCATCATGTTGTATACCTAAAATGAATACAATATGTCAATTATATCTCAATAAAACTGGGAAAAAAAGGTCAAAGAATACACTATGCCTTTAGACAGGGTAGTAGCATGTAGTTAGACTGAGATTATCCAGATTATATTATCCAGATTATTCCATTCTATTACCGGTACTATTACTCTGTTATTATAGTCTATACTACTTCTATTACCACACCTCCTCCTCCTTCTACTACCTTTCCTCCTTCTTCTCCTACTACTGCTTCTAACAACGACATTAACCGCCCCCAAGGCTTTTGTTGTAATCTGGGAAATTAAAGCCATATTGTACTTTTTAGAACTAATCCTAACAACTACACATTTCAGACACATTAAAGTCTCACAGTCTGAAGCACTGTGGGATCCAGTAGCGTCAAATGATGGAAACCTGGATGACAATAACCCAAGGCTTGACTCAGAGAACTGCGTTTCTTGGAATAACCCTAAAACTAACCTAAAAGGAAACCCTGTCAAGTGAAAATGAAAAAAGAAGCAAATGCCAAGCAGTGTGTTACATTTCTACCCTCATCCACAGCCTCAGAGCACTAGCTCACACAAAGGAACAAGGTATAGTGAAGAGAAGAGTCCCTTCTCAGCTAGGCACTCCAGGAACATGGGGACAGGATTTAGACACACTGTTTTGTGAGCAGGCAGGGAGGAGAATGACTCTGCAGACAACAGAAAGGAAACAGAAAGAGGTCCCAACCACCTCTGGTCCCTCAGCATTTTCATATTTAGATTCTCATACACCACTTCAATTTGCATTTGTTCGTGTATTGCACATACTTGCACTCATGTGTGCTTTGCTTACCCAACCAGCCTGTAAACCTGAAGATCTCCCAGAGTTGTGAGAGGGAAATGGCAAGAGAGAGAGGAGAAGGAGTGAAGATCAAAAGAATAAAGGGGAAAAAGATGTCATGAGGGGGGATTTGACAGGGCTTTTGAGTGACAACTGCCCATCTAAGTATCTGCCCCTTAGCTTTATACTAGGCTTACATTTTTGATCACTCTGTGGTGAAAGAGTTCTTTCCCTTTCTGTTTTTCTCTTTTCTATTTTGCTCCCTTTGTACCCAAACACACAATACCAGAACCATTTCTCTAACATCGAGGCCATTGTTTTTTCCATCTGGTCCGGCAGATCAAGAGCAAAGTTACAGTCAGAAGACTGGGAAATGGACAACCACAAAGCATGTATACTTGGCTTCTGCCTCCCCAGTGATTTGCAGTTTTTAGTAGTTACAAGCTTGGCCCTTTATTTTAAGAAATACACTTTCCCTCAAAGGCAACACCACTCTCCTTTCTGAATGGCACTGTACCTCTTCTCCACTGCTGTCTTTATGTTGAGCCATTCCCACCTCCTATTTCCTATACGGCACATTAATCCATGTTGTCAATTCTCCATGGAATAAACACTAGGTCCTCACATATGCAGTAGCATAGTTTACAGTTTTAGGAAGAAGACCCAAAATCTTTGTCTAAAGCCAAGGTCAGTGTGTACTTGTGCTAATGTGTGGCACATGTTTTGTTGGGCTCCATATCAGGCAGACACAAAAAGAGAGGGCGGAAGACTCATTTTCAATGAGACCTGAGATATAGAGTTCACTCATTATTATTTTTACTATTCATAATGAAAAGTACCATTTTCCAAACTCTTACTCTTGGGCAGGAACTATGCTAAGTGCTTTACACAGATTATCTCATCTAACCGTCAAAATAACGGTACCTGTGAAGGAGTTCCTATAATTATCCGTATTTGTTATATCAGGAAACAAAAACTTAGGGACTTAGAAGAACCCGGCGAAGATGAAATATATAGTGAATGACAGAGCCAACATTCAAATCCAGGCCACCTGATGCCAAAATATATGTAGGCAAACACTGTTCTATACAGGTCTTCTCATTTCTCTTCACTCAACCCCCACCATCCCAACCTATCCCCAAATGAAGTATTTTTTCCTTGGAAAACAGCAATGGGAATGGGGCATTGTTAAGGTAGAGGTAGAAGAGATCCTGCTCTATAGCTGGACTGCCCAACACCATGCATGGTCTTATCTCTTGAGAAGTGGAGAGGAAGTAATAAATCCATACCTGTTGTTTGTCCTGGGCAGCTCCATGCCTTCTTTAGCATAGCGTTCATGAGTTAGTTTTTGCTGTGCTTTTTTCATATAACACCAGGTCACTTTGCCCCTGAGTTAAAAACATTCCATTTCCAGTGCATTTTCCATTTGGCTTTCGTTTCCATCTTTTCCATTAGTATAAACGGAGATCATTTATTTTAGGACCAACTAATTTAGGGTAGGCATTACTGTCATCATTTTCCCGATGGGCTCAGAGAATGTACATGCCAGGCCCCAGGTGAAATTCTTTTCTAGCCAGAAAGCTACTAGAACTTTAACCTAGGATTCCTGCCTTCAAAGGCAGCCTTCTAAATCAAGAATGAGTGAATGCTACACATTCAGCAGCCTCCTTGGTACCTTTCCTTGCCTTATACTAAATATATCCAAATCCACTTTGATAAGTCCCCCCAAACTGCTCTGATTCCTTTGCCTCCCATCTCAGTGAATGGCACCACCATTCAGGTGTGCTTGCCAGACACATGCATGATTTTTCTCTCCCTGACTCATACTGCCATTGTTCTAGATCCACTCTATTACCAAGTCCTACCTGTTTAACGCTCAAAGCTCAAATTCGTCATCTTCTTTCTACATCTACCCAAACTATCACTCTGTCTCCTCTGGGCTACTGGTCTCCTAACTTGTCTCCACCTTCTCCTTCTCATCCCCCTTCACTTCATTCTCATACTGAAGCCAGGACCAGCTTTTTATAACACAAATTCAATCAGGCTATAAATGTCATGCCATCCTTTGGTTGAAAATACTTTGATGTCTTCCCAAGGCACTTAGATAAAAATCCAAACCTCAAACATGGCTGACAAAGTTCAGCATGATCTGGTCCTTACCGTATCTCCCACCTCATCCCTTAATTCTGTACCGAAGTCCCACTGGCATCTTCCTATGTCCTCAAACACTACATAGCCCTTCATATCAGCTGTTCCTTGTCTCTGGATCACTCACAAACCTTCCACCTCCTAAATGGTGTTAATATCTACTAATCTTCAGACCTCAGCTCAGGTGTTGCTTTCTCAGAGTCAATTTTCCTGACTTCTATTATATTCTCTCACAAAATCACTGTAGTCTTTACCACTTATCGCTGGTGCAATTTTACATGTATTCTGGCACATGGCTGGCTCAGAACACATACTTGTTGAACAAATGAGAGGTGAACGAATGCATGTGCTTCCTTCCCCCTCCCAGACATGCTTACCATTTGTCTGAATCTGTAGGTTGTAGATTTTCGTCTGAATGCCCTCTGGGTACAGGGTGAAGCTACACTCATACTTCCCAGTGAGCAAGGAGGACATGTTCCTTAAGTGCAGAGTCCACTTTGACACATTCCTGGGAGCTTCTCTGAAAGCCACCAGCGACTCACAGGGGCTCCCACTGGCACAGTAAAAGCCACGCTGGGGATGATAAAGGCAATCAGGTCCAACTTATCAGTGACCTTGGACCACTGCAACTGCACCAAGAAGCCTTTCTTCTGTGTTTGGCAGGTCAGGTTGACATCAGAACCAGGTAATGCATAAATGTCTTCTTCTGCATTGAACGTTTCTTCCAATACTCCTGAAAAGGAAGGACGTGAGCCATCAGTTTGCATGATTCACACAGAGTGACTCAATGAGAAACCTTGGTTACTTTGGTGAAGTGAGGGAGCAGCTGGAACTTTCCTCCCTGGCTGACTTAGAGAGAGCTTGTTCCTGATCTAGACAGAGAAGCATAAGACTCAATACAAATGAGGAGGCATTTGCTTAAAGACACTAGAGGAAATTATTGACTTTTGAATGTCTATCACTTTGTCTATTGGTCTGTCCAAAAAATAATGCAAGTTCTCTGACTACCTGTGAAAAAAATTAAGCCTATTTAAAGATTGGAGCCCACTAGCAAGTTTATTATGACAACTACTCTTACAATGAATATAATTGGCTTTTTTTGTTTATGAATCAAAAGCACATAACATATAATAACACACAAATGTTATTTTCTGAAACTGAAAAATAACTAACATGCGTATGTTTTTAAAAATATATGTTTACAAGAGGATTTTACGTAGGTTATTTTGTTTAATCCTCTGCACACACCAAAGGGTGATTTTTCTGTTTGTTTTTAAAAATTTATTTATTTATTTATTTATTTATTTTTGGCTGTGTTGGGTCTTTGTTGCTGCATGCAGGCTTTCTCTAGTTGCAGTGAGCATGGGCTACTCTTCGTTGAGGTGCGCGGCTTCTCATTGTGGTGGCTTCTCTTGTTGTGGAGTATGGGCTCTATAGGCGCATGGGCTTCAGTAGTTGTGGAACACGGGCTCAGTAGTTGTGGCACACGGGCTCAGTAGTTGTGGCTCACGGGCTCTAGAGCGCAGGTTCAGTACTTGTGACGCATGGCTTAGCTGCTCTGCAATATGTGGGATCTTCCCAGAAAAGTGATCAAACCCGTGTCCCCTGCATTGGCAGGCGGATTCCTAACCACTGTGCCACCAGGGAAGTCCAAAGGGTGATGTTTGTTAACACTGTTTATCAAAGAGGAAACTGAGGCACAGAGAGATTAAGTGATTTGCTTAAAGTCACACCTCAGTAAAAGAACATTAATTTGGTTGTCTAGAGTCTGTGCTCCTTCTATAACCTTCATGACCTCCAAACTGCCTTCCAAATTGGTTGAGAAGAGTAAGAAATTTGACATTCAATATCAGAGGATCAAAAGGGCCATCATTTCCATGTAGTTAGGGTGCCTGAGGAAAGGATGGGGAAAAAACAGCGGTAGAGGTTTCCACTAAAGATAACCCGCTGGTCAGCATCATTTATAATCAACACTGAAACACTAGACATGAAAGAAGATTCCCTCCCATCAGCTCTCTGACCAAACGGTACAGGACACTTACAGTATGTTAAGCACTGAGCCGTTGACATGCCTTCAATAGCGTAGGTCTCAGTTTTAGAATTAACATGGAATACTGTTACAGGAATGATATATTATTGTGACAAGTACCACTGAAGCTCACAAAGGAAAAAGATAAAAAGATGACAAGCAACTGAGAAAAAAACAGGCTCCAAAGGTACTGGACAAACGGGAGTTACTACACTTTTACGAATGCAAAATTTGGGTAGGCAGAGGTTACTGCAGCTTAACGTAGCTCCCTGTGAGCTCACCTTTGCCTGGTAATACATCTCTGATCCTATCTACAGCATTATATTCCAAAGTCTCCTTTGATTTAGAAATTCTCCTTTAAAAATCTTCATAACTATATCTGAAAAGCAGAGCTAATTCTTAAGACACTCGGGCTCACTCTAATACCCTCGTGCTACGGAATGCAGAACAAATCTCTCCTCCTGCTGTTTTTAAATAGGCCCTTTAGGCACTGGTCCCCGCTGTCATAAGGACCCTACTTTGTCTCCCAGGTCCATACCTACACATGCCTCATTAAAATTCAACGTATGTTCAGCTCCCAAAGATCTTAGTATTTGGAGGAGAAATTCTTGGCTATATCCAAAAGAGAAAGTATTTGAGAAAGAGAAAAGGTTGAGCCAGGAGCTCTGAGTCTTGATGGCTTGTGATTTTTCTAGTATTCCGGAGTTATTCTGACTATCACTTGGAGAGCATTTCATTTGCAAGAAGCACAATTTCCCAGTTACTCCGAGAGACCCTCTTAGAAAGAAAATGGGTGAAAATGTCTCAGAGCAGTGGCACAAACCACCCACTCCCTTCTTGTTTTTAGTGCTCATTTGTAATCCTTTCTAGACTCTTAACATCTCTCTGAGAGCTGCCACTTAAACACATAGCTGAAAACCTTAATAACAGTCTGCCTTTGGTGATCAATTTCGGCAGTAGCCACAAGGCATTTTAAATAAACAGAGGCCCCATTCCCCCCAAAGCAGCCGATCTGACAAGAAAGGACAACCAGAAGCCTTACCCCTGACAAAATGTATCTGGATGATGGAATAGACAGCACAGTATGTCCATTTTCCCCCCATAGTCTCCTGAAGGCCTCACACCAGCATTTCCATAATGATCACAGAAGTCAATAGATGCCTTTAACTAAGCAAACTCCAGCCACCCTGTTCGTGCTGAAAAAACGCCGCATCTACCAAACGCCTGTGTCTGTTTATCACTTGGCAAGACCCCGGGAAATGAAACGTAGACAGGAAAGTAATGTGGTTCAGAGCTGAGTATAACCTTCAACAGAACAATGTTGAAATTGTTCTCTGAAATCTTGTGTATCACCTTCGTTAAAAGCATTTTTAGTATCCAAAGATTCTCTCCTTCAGGATCTCTGTGTCAGTCAAGCTGCTTCTTAAATCCACACAAAGGAAGTCATGCAGAGCAGTTCATAATCTGCTTTTTATACATTTCTTTTCAAGAGCACAAAGTCATTTAACAAATGTGAGCTCAGTGTCTTTCATAATAGTTTTTCTGTTCAATTTTAAAATATGTTTTCTTTCCAGAATTGCTTCAGGGTGAAAGAACAAAGAATTAACAGGTTTAATTTTAATAAAATCTGAGAAGTAACAGAGGGTAGCTCCAGCTAAGAAATGGAATTTTAACGTCTCCCTTCTTTCAGGGAAACCCACATTCCCTGGAGGTGAGGAGGCGAGGGCTCCTTTTCCACCCTGTGTCTGGGATAGGCTGGTGGTCAAGTAGGGAATTCTCCCACCCTGCTGGCGGGAGGTCTGTTTTGATGATGACAGAAAAGCGTGTCTTTGCCTCAGCAAAGATCATGTAGAATAAGACAGAAACAATCAGAATCCAAAGGCAGAGAGAATCTCCCACCTCAGCTGGTTACCAGGCCCTGTTACATCCACCCACTTACTTCCATTTACTGAGGACCGGATTTCAGGGAAGTGACTCCTTGGTAAAAATCCCTGGTTATTCGCAGAAGGACATGATGACTGTTCCCTGTCAGACACAGCTGTATTGGTTTTCTACCTTGGGGTAAAATAGGCCGTCTTTACCTGCCAACATTAAGAAAAGAAACATTAGGCTGGAACTACAGCATAAGTTTAATGAACAAAGAACAAAAATGAATTAATATGTACCATCTTATGAACAATTGGTGAAATATTCTGTGACCCTAATCTCATTACTACCAGCAAGGCTAAAGACAAATGAGAAGACTGAGTTGTATTCCTGAGATGGTTACTCTTTTGAGGTCAGGGAGAGATAATTCTGACCAGGTCATCATCATGTATCATGTCATCATGTATCATGACATCATGGGTGTACTGATCTGTCCTATGCAAGGACTGGGGGGGGGATATGGATGATGCTAAGATATAAAGCATCACTCTTGCCATTCAGGAGATTAGAATTACCTGGGAGAAGACATTTGCATATGGTGAAATAGGGCTACTGTCTTCCTGGACATCCAGGCTACCCTCTACACCACCCCTACAAATATTTGCCATGACAATTGTCATACTCATTACTACTCAGCTAATGATGTTTCCTGCAGCGGCCAGAAAATGGAGTTACTGATTTCCTACTCCAGGGATCCCAAACTTTTATTCCTATCCCCTACTACCACCTCCACAGTAGGTCTCAGGTCCCTGGAGGTGTTGGGTCAGTTGGGGCTGACAGGGATATTTTCAGGGAGGGCTGGGGAGTTCAAAGTCTTTGATTGAAAGGCAGGAAGAAACATCACTGCTCTCGATGCCTTCATATCTGCCCCTTTCCTCCTAGAAATTCTAGTAAATCACGATAATGGAGTATAGAGGCAAAAACAGGCCGGAAGATATAGTAAGAAGACCCTGATCTATAGGTTGGTGTCCCTATTAAACTGGGAGACATTACAAGCCTGGGGAGGGATTTCAGTTACTTTACTCCACATGTCATATTAAGAGGAATCTACCTAAGTAGAAACCAATAAGAATTTAAATTTATTGAATTCTCTAAGAAAATATCCTCCCCCTTGAATCATCTAGAGGTCTCTTATCTCTTATTGCCTGAAGGTGAAGCAACTCTTCAAATAAATCCCTCAGATTCAGAAAAAGGGAAATCCTCACTTGTTTTCCAGAGCTACAGAGTAACTTTTAATGGAATCCATGCCTGGGGTTGGGATGCCCAGGGCCCCATTTAGTGGCTACTGGGCAAATTTGCCCATCCTGGGCGTGGTTTTTATACTTCCGTGGCCTAGAGTCATCAGATTGGACTGATTTTCCTTTGAGATTCACCCAGGCTCTAATAGAAGAAAAATTTCAGATGCCCACAGAATATTAATTGTGCTCACCTGGCGTCCTGCAGCTAAGAGCCCGGCGCCAGCCCCTCCATGGCTGTTTGCATGCAGCAGGTGGCAGCAACACCCCACAGACCAGCACTGCTAGCCCAGTGACGGGAATTGCCCTCACTGCTTTTCAATCCTGGGAATATTTTCTAAAGGCCCTTTCAGCCTGAGGGTAGGCATTCTCTATACTTAAAAATAACTCTTCTATGGAAGTCATGTCAATCTCTTCTATTATCCTCCCTGCTCACTAAATCCCAACTGCATGGTGTTTCTTCTGCCTTAGATTAGAGTCTACTGCATATAAAGAGAAAACAGAAGCAGTCAGTTTCACACACAAAAAGAAATCTTGAACTTCAGAAGCAAATTCAATTATTGACAAAGTGAAGCAGGGGCACACATTATTTCTGCTACAGGCAAGACATAATTGTGTGTTTTGGACAAACTTTTTAAATGCTCCATCTAAACACTTACCCTCAAGGAGATTAAGGACATTTTCAGAAATAGGAAGTTGAGCAAAAGGTAATCTTATTTTTTGTGGTTTTCAGAGAGGTTAACTCAAATATTATTGATTTGTCTTGGATTTTATTCTTTTTTTTTTTTAACATCTTTATTGGGGTATAATTGCTTTACAATGGTGTGTTAGTTTCTGCTTTATAACAAAGTGAATCAGTTATACATATACATATGTTCCCATATCTCTTCCCCCTTGCATCTCCCTCCCACCCACTCTCCCTATCCCACCCCTCCAGGCGGTCACAAAGCACCGAGCTGATCTCCCTGTGCTATGCGGCTGCTTCCCACTAGCTATCTACCCTATGTTTGGTAGTGTATATATGTCCATGCCTCTCTCGCGCCCTGTCACAGCTCACCCTTCCCCCTCCCCATATCCTCAAGTCCCGTTCTCCAGTAGGTCTGTGTCTTTATTCCTGTCTTACCCGGATTTTATTCTTTAACTACTTATATAAAAAAATAAGAACGTGGAGTGTTATACTGTTGTACATGTTTCTCTCCCAAAATGTTTAGGAAACATGCTGCTTGATGTTTCAGTTAATCAAAAAATATGTATTTAGTGCCAACTCTTAAGGGATTACTGAAGAGGCATAGTTCTAGGTGATTTTAAATACAAATGAGGAAATAAGCCCTTAAGGCACTTATCGTTTTGCTGGGGAGAAAATATCCATGTGCACCAAAGAGTCAGGTAACAAAAAGCACAGAATTAAATGAGTAGGTAGCACAGGTCTTTAGAAAAGGGGATGACCTCCTAGGGATCAGGTGGGCTAGGAACATCTCAAGCGTGGAATCTTAACTTGGCTTTATATTGTAGAAGTGAGTCTGGTGGAAACCATAAGGTAAGTCATTCCAGGCAGAGCCAACCCTTGGGAGTACTGAAGTTCAAGGCCAATTCAGTGAGTCAGCTGTTATCATGAAGCAGAGGCTTTATTGGGGAGCTTGGGGCAAAGTCATGCTAGGGATGAGCTTAGATTCTGGAGGGCTTCGAACTCTAGGCTATAGATTTTTTTTCTTCATGTCAGAGAGAGTTATAGGATTTTCAACAAAAGAGTAACATATTTAAAAGTAACATTTTAGTAGGATGAATTAGGTGAATTAGTAGGTGGACATGTGAAGGTTGAATAAAAGAAGGGAGAAAAAAAGAGGCAGGAGACCTGTTAGGAATTCTGCATTTCTTTAGGCACCTAAGGATGAGAGCTTTCCTATTGGCAATTGCCAAGTATGATAGGGGCATGGACATTGCAAAGAACGGAGGTACGGCTTGGTGTCCAGTTGGACATGGAGTCAAAATCTCCTTTGAATTTTCATACATCAGAATTAGGAGGAAAGAAAAACCATCATAGAGCTGGATTCCTGATGGAAGAAGAATGGATTCCTGCTCCCTTCCCTTCCCCAGGAGCAATCGTCAGGGATCACTGGACTCTGAACTAGAAGTGAGGGATGACCTATTAGGTACAGGTAGAGGCCCTGCCTCCATGAGAATGAAGGTCCTCCTTTTGGCTTTCACTCACATTTTATGAATTTTAAGAATTATCATCTAATGGAAGAGAAAGAACTTCATGAGACTTTCCACACAGCAAGTTGTTTTATCACCATCATTCCCACCATGCTCAATCCATCCAGTAAAGACTGATTTTAATGTAACACATTTTTGTAGTGACAGCATCAATATCTGCTCATTATAAGAAAACACTTTAAAAGGGTAACAAAGAAAATAAAAACCAGTTGGAATCCTAACCGCCCAAAGACAACCAAAGTACTTATATTTTGTCTTACATCTTTCTAGACATTTACATAAATATGTTATATGAAGAAACTGGATTTTTACTACTTTTACTGCATGTACTCTAACCTGTGCTTTTTCTCACTTCATAATATATTGTAGACATATATACATGTTATAAAACAAAGATAAACGTCTTCCTTTAAAATAGTTGCATAATATATTATTCTACAGATGTCCAGAAATATATATTTTAAGAGAAATTTTAGAATATTTTTTACTTTGAGAAATAGAATTACAAAATTCAATTGAATAATGATAGTAAGTAATCTTTGAATTTTTCTTTTCAGTGGCAAGTTGAAATAAGGAGAGGGAGAGAGAGAGAGAGAAAGAGAAAGAGAGAGAGAGAAAGAGAGATCAATCCTGATTTTGCCAAAGCTCTGGGAAGCTAATGACTCAATAATAACTCAATAATGGTGACTTTTGCAGAAAAACACTTGAAAAACCATTAACATCTCTAG